GGTATGAGCATCGGCCTGCTAAACCCAGGGTTGTGAGTTCAATCCTAGAGAGGCCATCTGGGGCAAAATCAGTACTTGGTCCTGCTAGTGAAGGCAGGGCGCTTGACTCGATGACCTTTCAGGGTCCCTTCCAGCTCTATGAGATAGGTATATCTCCATACAGTATTAGTAATTAGTATATCTCAGGCTGATTTGAATAAAAAATCAATCATTGCAGGACATATTTTCCGTGTTATTTAGTTTATACTTTCATTCTCTCTTCCAAATTTTAACTAATAAAGTCAAACAAGTACTTTTTAAAGCACTTCTGTGGATTTTTCTGATTACAGTAAAGCCCTTGCCCACAAATCACAAAAACAGAACTTGTGTCTAAAGGATTCCACAACACCTCAAACACTGTCCTGTTTCCCTAGATACTGCACTATTGGATCCCAAATGAGGGTCTTTACAACACTGGAAAATGTAAAACAACATGTGATTCTTTACAAGTAGGCTAACACTTCAGTACAAATGGTGTAACAACGCATTATTTTGTACTGCGTCTTTCATACAATTTGTATTCGCAAATGTGTTATAGTTCTCAGAAAAATAGACTCTCTTCTTAGACAGGAATGTGCATTCAAATATTTCCTTTAGAGATTAAAAAAATAAATTTTTAACATGGCATGTGGAATGAAACAATTTTCTGTCTAACATGCTCTGAAATAGACTAGATGCTACCATCCCCAATTCAAAGTATAGAAAGAGAACTTAGTTATTTCTGACTGGAACTTATGGGAATAGTGATTTTATTTTTCATCTCAGGTATCTCATAAAAGCTCAGCTGATTTTTTTCAAAATTCCATACAAAGGCCCCCAATCCTGCAACTGACTGCACTTGTTCACCCCTCCTCCTGCACTAGTCAACCAAATTCATCTTTATATTATTTAGACCTAGCATGGAAAATTTCAACCTGAAAGGAACTTTTTTGAGAAAGCTATGAGCAACTGGAAACGTGGGACTATTACGGAAACAATTCAGTCTTAACTGCAGCACTGGCTATGATGGTACTTGGCACTTATCTAATACCTTTCATCCAATAATCTCCAACTATTTTACCATTGTTATTTAAATACAGTACCCTTGCAACATCCATGTGAAACAGATATGTATTAGCACTATCTTTTAGGCCTTGTCTACACTACAAAGTTTTTTGTCGTAAAAACAGTGGATGCGTACACACTGCAATGCGACTTTTGGCAGCAAAAATGCCCGTTTTGGCGACAAAAGAAAACTACCCTGACAAGAGACATAAGGCTTTTTGCACAAAATTTTTGTCGACAAAGTGCCAATGTAGACACCATGCTTGATTTTATCGCTTTAATTGGCCTCTAGGTGTCCCACAATGCCACTTGTGACCACTCTGGTCAGCAGTTTGAACTCCACTGCCCTGCAGCCAGGTAAACAACCATCCGCCCCTCCCCCTTAGAAGCCCCGGGAATTTTTGAAATTCCATTTCCTGTTTGCTCGGCATGGAGAAGTTTCAACGCATCTTCCCAGGTGACCATGGCAAGTTATTGGTGCAAACGCTCTCCCGCTTGGACCACTGCGGAGCTGCTCAGTATATGGGGAGAGGAGGCTGTGCAGTCCCAGCTATGCTTGAGCCGTAGGAATTTTGATACCTACAGGTAGATTTCTCGAGGCTCGTGCAAAAAGGGCTGTGACTGGGACATGCTGCAGTGCAGAGCAAAAATAAAGGAGCTAAGGCAGATGTACCATAAGGTGAGGGAGGCAAACCGTCACTCTGGTGATGCACCTAAGACCTGCCAATTTTACAAGGAGCCGGATGCTATCCTCGGTGGTGACCCCACCTCCACCGCCAAGAGCCCTGTAGATACTTTGGCAGGCCTGGAGGCAGCAGAAAAAGGACCTAATCCGGAAGATGAAGTCATTGATGAAGAGGTGGAGTTAGACGACGATGTGGAGCTCCCAGCGGGGTCACCCGGTGGGGCAGGCATCCAGGAACTGTTCACCACTCCAGAGGTGTCTAGCCAGTCTCAGCAGTTGTTCTCCAGTGAGCAAGAAGCAGGAGAGGAGATGCCTGGCTGTGGTTTGTGTAGTGCAGAGGTGGGTTCAGAGTATAGAAAGGTACAGGGCTGGCTGTGTTTCTGTGTGCTGAACATTTTCCTGTGTAGCTAATCAGTACGGCAGAACAAGGTGTTGATGCACGCCAAATCTCACTGGAATCCTCCAGAGAGATCTCTAGGAAAGTTTCCTGGAGGTACTTGGTAATCCTCCGCCGAAGGTTCATTGGCAGAGCTGCCTTGTTCCTCCCCCCATTGTAAGAAACGTTCCCGCACCATTCAGCAATCACTTGTGCAGGTACCAAAGCGGCACAGAGGTGAGTAGCATAGGGACCAGAGCTGAAACAACAAGCACGTAGTAGATGTACCCTCGCTTCCCTGCTTACCTCAGAAGTGAGATATCTGCTACAATGACCCCTGCCTGTGGAAAAGTGTGGGAGAATTTTAGAATTTTTTCCCTTAGTTGGTTGCACCGCAACCCTTGCAGAGTACTCTTTTCCCCATGTAGAGCGCCCCCCACCCCAGCCAACACTCACCATGCTTTGGGTGTTCGCAGAGATGTGTGCTTGCCAAGGCTCAGTGAGAAAGTGATTGTTATGTTACCAGAGGTGTATTTTACTGAAATGTTTCAATGCTGTGCATTAATTTAATAATCATGCTTCTGTGAATTGTTCCTTCTGCTTCGGCAGATGTGGCCTTCAGGAACACCCCCCATACACCGGCCAAGAGTTTCCGCCAGATAAAAAAGCGCTCAAGATGGAGCAAAGAAGACATGTTCCGGGAGGTACTGCATTTCTCCAACGCAGAGAAAAGGGAATGCAATGAGGGAGGGAAGCCGAAAGGCAGGACAGAAAAGAAAATCAGGAGTTTGCTAAAGATGCTACTGAATGGATAATTAAAATCATGGAGGAGCAAACGCAGATACCGAAATCCTTAATAATGCTGCAGACTGAGCAAATGTGTGCCCGCCCTCTCCTGCAGCACATTCAGAACTCTTTTCCATTCTCCCCACCAAACCCCGCCCACACAGTCCTTTCCGGGCCTTCTCAGTTTCCCCTTCACTCCACTCCCTCGGCCAACTTTCAAAATGATAGCTGGACCTACACACAGCTCTGAAAGTCTGCCCTTCCCTGGTACCTCCTTTCCCATCAAGAGTGTGTGTGTGTGTGTGTGTGTGTGTGTGGTTTCTTGTGCAATAAAAGCAAAGTTTTTGAACAGTAACTCATCTTTATTTCCTACAAATTGAGATAGCAGGCATTACCAATATATACATAGGCAGTTTAATCATTTGCTTACTGGAATATAAGGCCCCAAATGTCACCATTGCTTCCTAGGAAAACTACATGTAATGTAACATTGCAGGACCAATCACAGTGATATACATTACTGGTTCTCATTTTCAAAGTGTTGCCTTAAAGCCTCCTGATTCGAAATACCTCCCTCTGGGTGCCCCTCTATTAGCCCTGGTATCTGGCTGCTCAAAATCAGCAGCCAAGTGGTCTGCCTCAACACTCCATCCTGAGCAAACCTTTCACCCTTAGCTTCACAAAGATTATGCAATGTACAACATGTGCCTATGACCATGGGAATATTATCCTCTCTGAGGTCTAACCTGCCATAAAAGGCATCGCCAGCGCGCCTTTAATCTGCCAAAGGCATTTTCCACTGTCATCCAGCACCTACTCAGCCTGTTGTTGAACAGCTCCTTAGTGCTGTCCAGGTTTCCCGTGTAAGGTTTCATGAGCCACGGCTATAAGGGGTATGCCGGGTTTCCCAGGATCACTATGTGCATTTCAACATCCCCCACTGTAATCTTCTGGTCTGGAAAGAAAGTCCCCGCTTGTAGCTTTCTATATAGGCCAGTGTTCCTGAAGATACGTGCATCATGCACCTTCCTGGACCATCCCGCGTTGATGTCAGTGAAACGCCTACGGTGACCCATAAGCGCCTGCAACACCATGGAGAAGTACCCCTTCCTATTGATGTATTCCTGTAACCTGCATGACGATACAATCCCACCATTCAGTGCTTGTTTCCCGAGCCCAACAGCGACGGTCCACTCTCTGCAGCTGTTCTGTGAATGCCAAAAGCAATTTAAAGTTGCTCCTATCCATATCACACAGCCTGTCAGGCAATGGGAGTCTTCTTCAGTTAGGAACTTCGTGATTAACTGCGCTGTCATCCACGATGTCTTTATGACAGTTATCAGAGCATAGGAGAGCAGTGCAGGATCCATCCCTTCTCACAAAGATGCCAGCATGCACAGCAAAGAAGGAACGTCGAAAAACGCCATGAAAGAACGCCAGAAGCCCATGGAATGCTGAGACAGAAAGCAATGCATCATGGGACATTCAGCCCTGTCGCAAGATGCGCCACGATCTGCTCCGCCTTCCCACAACACCTAGCGACAGAAGGTGTCGAGCAGGACTGTGGGATAGGTACCCACAGTGATCTGCTCACGCTGTTGATGCTAGTGCCCTAAGTGTGGACGTGCTCTGCTGACAGAGGGAGTGAGTGTGAACATGCATTACCGATTTTTATTACAGCGCTTTTTGAGTGTCGATATAATTTTTGTTGACAAAACTCTGTAGTGTAGACAAGGCCTAAGATGGGTAAACTAAAAGAGGTTAAGTCATTTGCCTAAGATCACATGGCAAATCAGTGGCAGAGCTAGGAACAAAATCTAGATCTTCAGATGCCCAGTCCTGGTTTCAAATCTCTAGAAAACGCCCCCTTCTATATTTAACACTGTATGTCATTAATGAACACAAATGAACCGACAAATTATAGAAAATGAAATGCCTGTAAATGTTACACTGATGTTCAATTCCCAACCCTTGAGTGAGTAACTGTAAGAGAAGAATACTCAAAAAGAAAACCACACTTTGTTTACCCTGGTTATCAGCATTATGTTAGCAGATCAGTCATGTCTTTACCTGCAAACCTGCTAGCTGAGCAGCTGACTTCCCCTGAAGGCACAGAGTGTGAGCCACAAATGCATTCAAGTCCTCCAGAGAGAAACTGTCCACCTGAAACAGAGATAAAAAAAATCTGAGCTGTGAGCTATGGAAGAAAAACCATTCTGCAAATTGGTCTTTATGACTGTGTAAACACATACACACAAAATGAGTAGGGCAGTGGTGAAGGAGTGACATTCCAACAACCAGAATTTAGATAAAGAAAAATAACATGGTACTTAATTTCACAACTCCATTTGTGTAGCTTTGTATTATCTCCACTCTCCACAACTCTACCCAAAAGCTAACTTTCACATTCTCCCTCTTCTTTTTCTTTTAGGACCTTTATAAGTAGTACCAACAGGATATCTACCAGTAACCACAATACCAAGAGTGTTCCAATAATGATGCTACTTCAGATGAATAAAATATCTTTACAGTACAAAATCACTCTACCACTAGGATCCCAAAATGAAGACTAACTGAACCAGCCATAGTTGATGGCTATGAAGATTTATCTCCAGTACAAATGCTCTACTGACCATCAGTAGAAAGATATAAAAAATTAGCTACATCTTTAAAAAATGGGTGTGTCAGTAAAAATGACAAGATAATTTAGAACAAAAATTTCTTACTTCAAAGTAAATTTCCAGGTTAGATTAATCCTTGGTTGGTTTTTTGGTGGGGAGGGAGGGGCAGGGTTGGATTTTTTTTGTGGAAGGAATTTAATTTTTTGAAGAAAATTGGGGAAAATCACCCTCTTATGAAAAACAACCCAAACAATAGAGGAAAACTCTGAGTTTCATCTAGTTGTTTTCTTCAGATGTTTCTATAAGGGAAGGAGAGGTGGGGTCTGCCCCCTCTGGAAGAAGCAGACGGTGTGACTCCCTGAAATCCATGGGTCTCTGGAATCTGACAGAGGCAAAGGGCCATCTGTGTGGAAGCCCTATGGTTTTGCACCAGCAACTGCTCCCCCACGCCCCCTGTGCTCTTTCTGCAGCATGGATCCAATTAAGTTATCTCCTACTTCTCCCCCAAAAAGAATGCAGACTTAACCTGTGCATATATGTCATTGCTGAATATTTGCTGATATTGTTGAGGTTGTAATAAGGTTTTGATTATACTGTGAAGGAGATCCATGTGGTATGTACAATGTTTCACCTTATCAGCTGGAAACGGAAGGAAGTTTTTTGTGAATATATGGAACCTGCATTGTCAGTGCAAACATGCTGATTAGAAGTTCAGGTAAAGTTAAGAGGTATTCCATAATTTGGCATTTCCTTGCTTTTAAGGGTTTTCTTTGGGGGAGGGGGACGTTACACTTATCCAACCACGATCCATTTTAAACAAAGAGTTTGTTTATGGAATTAATACTGTTTTATTAAATTTCAAAGAGAAGTGCAGGAGGGGGGAAAGGGCAGATAGGTCAATGGGAAAGAACCAGGGAAGAGGAGAAACACAGAGAGAAGCCATCTACTGTAACTTCATTTACTCTTCTTAGATGATAAAAAACGTTTAATCCACCCACCCTAGATAAAAATGCACCATCATAAATCTGGAAGACTTTGCATTAGGGACTTCTGTTGAACCCCCCTTTCCCTATTAAAAACCCTCTTTCTTTGGAAGGTCTTTTAAACCTTGCACAAAGCAGGATTGGGTAATAGATATCAGAATAGTGTAACATTGCAAAGTACTCCTGCCATTCATTAACTCCACTCAAGCGTAAGTTATTGATTGGCTGCTAAAATCTGATAATAATCTTACCAACCCCAAATTCACCATCCCCTATTTTTATTTTCAAGGCAGGTGATACCTTTGTGTAAACAGCAGCAAGGGAAAATTACTAAACCTGAAAACCCTAGTATGTGCAGCCAACAAAAAGAGTGATTTTTAACTACAGAACATTTATTAATTTTGTTCTAAAAGAAGGAGCCCCCTCAATAAACCTCTCTATTTTGCTTTTTGGTGGCTGTATTTTTTATTGTGATACACACAATCAGCCAAAGAACTTAAGAGCTTATTAAAATGTCAAAATACTCATTTCTAAGAAACACTTTATTTAGCATTTCCTCCTGATTTGATCAAGCATTTATCACACACCCAGTATCACAGCATTTATAATTTCTTAATAGCCTCAAAACATAAGTCTGGCTTCACCTACCCCAAAGACTGTTCATGACTTAATCTCATTTGTCCTATTCAGATTTTTAAGAGTAGATTTATCACTTGGATCTTTATTTTTTAACATTTTATTCTTAATTCAGAGACGTTTAATTGGTGCTCACACACAGAGGAGTGCTGCACTTTGTTTTCTAAACTGGTACTGTTGATTTAGAGAGACAAGATAATATCTTTTATTGGGCCAACTTTTGCTGGTGAAAGAGACAAACTTTTGAGTTTACGCAGAACTCTTCTTCAGATTTGGGAAAGGTACGAGTGTCACAGCTAAATACTAGGTGGAACAGATTGTTTAGCATAATGAGTTAATACATATTGCAATAAACCATTCAAGATTAAATGGGCGGTTAACACCTCTGCAGTCGTAGGACAAATGAGGGGGGTTAGTGGATTAGAGATTGTTGTAATGAGCCTTAAATAGAGTGTCTTTATTGAGTCCATGATTTTTAGTGTCTAGCAAAGTTATGAATTTAAATTCCCAGGCTTGTCTTTTGAAGGTGTTGTGCAGATTTTCTTTGAGGATGAGGACTGAGAGGTCAGATAAGGAGTGAATGTTCTGAGAACCGTGTTCATCACAAGTGATATGGTGTTTTTGTCTGTGTGATAAATGAAGGAGTGGGGTTGCTCCCTTTTACGGACATCCAGCCAGCCAGCAGCTAAAATCCCTCTTAGTAGCTGTTCTCTAATTGCTCTACCTGTAAAGGATTAAAACGTCTCTCTGCTATGCATTGGTAAAAGAAAGTGAGTGGGCACCTGGCCAAAAAAGTTAATGGGAAGGCTAGAACTTTAAAAAATTGAAACAAGACTCCCCTTTTATATGTCTGTGGTTGTTCACCCAGGGAGAGGCGAACAGGGCAGCATCTATGTTGTAAGAAGCTTGGGGCCAGGTATCATACCTAGAAACTACTCATTTGAAACCTCAGATATGTAAGTAGATCAGGAAATGTCTAGGAAGACACGATTAGGTTTATCTTTTTATTTCTTTATGGCTCTGGACTCCTCCGTGCTAACCCCCGGTGCTTTTGTTTTGCTTGTAACCTTTAAGCTGGACCTCAAGAAAGCTCTTCTTGATGCTTAATCCTTGTACACCTCTACCTCGATATAACGCTGTCCTTGGGAGCCAAAAAATCTTACCGCTTTATAGGTGAAAACGTGTTATATCGAACTTGCTTTGATCCGCCGGAGTGCGCAGCCCCCCCCACCCTCCCGGAGCACTGCTTTACTGCATTATATCAGAATTCGTGTTATATCGGGTCGCGTTATATCGGGGTAGAGGTGTAGTAGTTTGTTTTTTTTAAATCTAGAAAAAGCCTAAGTTCCCAGGTGTATTTTCTTTCTTTTTTTTTATTAATAAAATTTACCTTTTTTAAGAACAGAATTGGATTTTTGTCTCTTAAGAGGTTGGTGGACATGTTTAATTTTGGTGGCAACAGCTGATTTCCTTTTTTTTTTTCCTTTCTCAGCTCTTCCCTGGGGGGTGGGGGGGTGAAAGGGCTTGAGGGTACCCCACAGGAACGAATTCCCAAGTGCACCTTCCTGGGCTCTCAAAGGGGTTCTGCACTTGAGTGGTGGCAGCATCTACCCATCCAAGGTCAGCGAGAAGCTGTAACCTTGGGAGGAGTTTAATACAAGCCTGGAGTGGCCAGTATTAATTTTTAGAATCCTTGTGGGCTCCCACCTTCTCCTCTTGAAGTGCCAGAGTGGGGAATCAGCCTTGACAGTCTGTTATCATTTTTGTGTGTGACTTCATTTGAGAGTGTAATGGTCATCTCATTTCACCCACACTGTTGTTATTGGGGCATTAAGTGCACTGGATGATGTACACCACAAGTTGTGATAGGTATGTGCAGGACCTATGGATCTTGAAAGGTATGTGGTGAGGGGAACAGATCACCACAGCAGTGGAGATAGATACAAAACCTACTGACAGTTGTTCTGGCAGGGTCTGGGCCACTTTGAGTTGGTGTGGCCTGGTCTGTGCGGAGCTTGCTTCTGATGATGACCATGTCAACATGTTAGGGGATTGTTTGAATGCCAGAAGAGGAGATATGAGAAAGATTTATTTCAGCATGTGGTGCCCATAGAGCATGAGTATTAATTGTTTAATGATACTCCATATGAGTTCCAAGGTGGGGTGGTAGGTGACAATGAGTGGTGTGCAATCGGAGGGTTCCCCCACCCCCCAGTATTGAAGAAAGTTGTCTCGGGGTATCTGAGTGGACCGTTACACTGTTGATTTATGCAGTGAAGTTTCAGTCTGTTTACAGATTCTTTTTGCTCTTGCTCAAAACAGCCTTCTTAAAGTTTTCATTAAATACATGAAAAATAAATATTGAGAAAGCCAGTCAGTCAATCCATATGCTGGTGCTTACAAAAGTTAAAGTTACAAGCATGAACAAAGGCACAGATGACCATAAGCAGTTTCCTTCTGTTGCCTTTCTTGCTGCAGACATTGGGGAGATACAGTTGGGAAACTGGTGTCTTTTTTTCTCTCTTTAAAATTAACTTTCAAATATAACTAAGCAGTTATATGCCTTAAAACATATAGGTCAGAGTGTTATACTGAACCCTCATGGGTGCAGATCCATCTGATCCCCAGTGGGAGCAGAAGGTGACAGTTAATGGCGAAACATTCAGTGGATGGAGATACTGGGACTGTGAAGACTATAGATCGGGGTGGGCAAACTGCGAGCCGGATCCGGCCCATCACGGCTTTGGATCCAGCCTGCAGGATTGCCCCCAGTGGCGCTGTGAGCCCCGCGCCGCTCTCAGAAGTGGCCAGCTCCACGTCCCTGCGGCCCCCGGGCAGAGGGCTTCGTGTGTTGCCCTTGCCTCCAGGCATCACCCCCTGCAGCTCCCATTGGCTGGGAAGGGGTAACTGCGGCCAATGGGAGCTTTAGGGGAGGTACCTGGAGGCGCGGCAAGGGCAGCGCACGAGTAGCCCTCCGCCTCCCCTCCCCCAGGGGCCACAGCGCTTCCTGGAGCGGCGCAGGGCCGGAGACAGGGCAGGCAGGCAGGGAGCCAGCCCCGGTGTGCGCCGCTGCCACCCCGGAGCCGCTTTAGATAAGCGGCGCCGGGACGGAGCCTGAACCCTGCCTGCACCGCGCCCCCCAACTCCCTGCCCTAAGCCTCCTGCCTGCACCTCGCACCCCTCCTGCACCCCAACTCCCTGCCCTGAGCCCCCTCATACGCCCTGCATGCCTTCTGCACTCCAACCCCCTGCCCTGAGCTCCCTCATACACCCTCCACCCCTCCTCTGCCCCAATCCCTTGCCCTGAGCCCCTTCCTGCACACCACACCTCCTCCCACATTCCCTCCCGCACCCCAACCCCCTGCCCCAGCCCTGCATACAATCTCCCCACCCAGATGTAGCCCTCGGCCCAAAAGGTTTGCCCACCCCTGCTATAGATAAATTCCACATCGTGAAACTCAATCAAATGCTTGCAAGGTGCCAAATCCAGGTAAAGGTTGCCTTGCCAGTGTAAAAGCCTTCACTCTACCTACAGCACAGAGTTCTATACAGACCCAGAAGGGTCTGGGTGTTGGCTGTAGGTGTCTTAGCAGACATTCCATTTCTTTTTTTTTTTTTTTAGGGAATGATATTTTGGATTTAAAAGCAGAAAGGATGACTCAGACCCACTCAGTTAGCTCCAAACATCCCAGGGACTGAGAGAGCCAAAATGCAAATGGAGTAGCTGACAGGGAGAAGGGGTTTGTATCCCTCCTGCCAGTATTGGAGAGGAAACACTGTGAAGATCAAGATACCTCCCCAGCATATGTAACTCAAATACCTGGGACTGAAGGAATGGGGGGGAATTGAGACAACCTCTTGCTCCAGGGGAGCAAGGAGTCCTACTGACCTCAAGGGAAACTGAGTCCTGATGCCCAGGCTAGGGAAATACACTCTCTGCCCACCCTTATCAGCGAACCAGAGGCAGTACACAGCATGTGCAGGGTCTCCGGCCAAAAGTGAGACCACTGAGCCAGCTGCAATACACTGGCTAATCTATGACACCCATCCAGATGTGGGAAATGCCCAAGTAAAGCGTACTTGGGGGATGATGGAAGTAACTACAGCCAGGAAAAGAGGGAACCTCTCCCGTCCCTCCCCAGTCTATGACTGCCTGATGGTTTGTGAAAATGTAAATGACACTGAGCCTGGTTGGGGGGTGGGGAAGAGGAGGGGAGAACAACTGCTGTTCACCTTGACTCAGTGTGTGGGGATCAAAAGGCCAACGCAGCGGGTGGGGCATCAATACTCTTTCCCCTCTCCTCATAGAAGTTGTAGTCAGGCCAAAGGGATCCCCAGGTCCTGACCTCCAAGGAGGTGGGGCAGGGAACGGGGGAGGTTTGAAAAATCTCCCCTGCCTGACCCCTCAGCTGTTAAAAACAGTGCATAGTTGAGAGCTGCTTCACAGGGAGCCAGCCCTGCTTTATTTCTCCCTTCTAGCCAAAGAGTTGCTTCCTGGAATATTCCAAAGGGGGGTGGAGAACGTCCACTCACCACCAGGTCACCCACCTTTGTCCCACCCTTGAGGGACAAAGGGACACCACATGCACTCCTCAGAAACCAGATAGGAGGTGGGAGTGGGAGGACCAGGTTTTGGGGTGACAGAGGTAAAAAGGTGTGTGTGAGAGTTCCACCTATAGTACAGCCCCATAGGGTCCAAAGAAAGAAAATATATGGTATGGTTGTGAAATGACTGTACAGATTTATGAATGATGTATACTGGCTTGTTAGCAGAATGTTTATTATATGAATAGTTGAAAAATGAAATTAGGCAAGGTAATGGCAGAAACGCCATCCAAGGAATAAGTCCATGTGTTTCCCTAGGATGCTGGTCAAGCAGCCCTGTTACACAAACCTCTTTATAAGGGAGATGTGACAGATATTGCAAACCCAGTGGGACACAATATTGAGTTTACATATCACTGTGAGTTAGGGATTGTATGTGTATGCAACTATGAGGAGAAGGTTACAACTTCTCCAGAAACCAAAAACACCGGGATGTGATTAAGACAAATCACTCAGGTTGTAACACCTCCAGAGAGATACCACCACCTGGGGAGGTTCACATATACTGATTCAAACTGAACTGCCTAGAGACCATCAGACAAAGAAAAGACTTTTGGATAAAAAGCTGGGTTAACACTGACTCAGGGCTTCTTTCTGATCCAGCAAACAGACAGGCCCTCCTAACCAAGGGCCCCAACTCTTAGAGAAGGGTTGGAAAGACTTTGGTCTAGTAGGGCCCCATAAATGATGGATGACCTCTGATAAGCTTTTAGCGTGTGCATGGGAAAAAATATTTTTTTTTCTCTGTAATACTTTTACTTTAAGAATAAATGTGCTTGCTTCGTTAAGGTTTTTTTGATAAACTGTATATACTGTTATAGCCCCTGGAGAGAGATTAACCAGAGGTGCCAGGCCTCGGTTAGACCTGGTGGGGAAACCACAGTGAGGTGCAGAGGGACTATAAGCCTAAACCTTCAGTCTGGAGGGAAGGAGACACAGGTCTCTGCCCAAAAGAGGTGAACAGCTGGGACCTGGAAACCTAAAGAGGCTGCCCTCAGAGAAGACCCAGAGGTGGGGGGCTCAAAGGTGCAGTTAATAGCAAAATTGTGACACAGGATTTCTTTTAAAAATTGTGTTTCCTGACCAAGAGGAAGGGGAGCCTAAGTTTCTTCAGAGATTATTTTGCTATCCCGTCCCTTAGTCCTACCCAAAAAAACCCCTACAGATATTAGTATGCAATGTATGAAGGGTATCCGGGATAGAGTGATACATAGTTAACACAGTCAAAATCATGTCAGCCCCAATTCAGCAAAGCACTTAAGCATGTGCCTTTGTACTTTCTCATTAAGAATCTGTGCTGCAAATGCAACCAGTTAAAGGGAGGGGGAAATGGCTATGGCACACATTTGTACAATTCCCACATGTTCTTTCCAAGTGAAGAAATCTTAGTTTGGGTTAATTCATGTGGCTGAGGAGAGTACGAGAAAATTAGGAAGATCCTATTTTCACATACAAATAAAAGCCCACTGCTAAGAAAATGAAAGTCAGAGAAAACAAATTATATTTTAATCAAAAGAGAGTTCACAATAACAGGAAATAACAGAAAATCTAATCAAATTAGATGAAGCCAATATTTTCTTGTTGCACTAATAAAGCAAGATATATTTGTGAGTTCACTATTTTAAAAGGTGACTAAAATTGTGAAGAATGTGTTAAAAATCTCTTAGAAATGGAAACAATGAATTAATATATTCAGTTCTAAATTTCTTTTGGTTTTCATTGTTTTAGGTACATAAGCAGCGAATATTTTAGAGTAACAGCAGAAATAGGTACATGACTTCTTATTACAGTCAGATAAGAATTTGTATTTGCATGTGAGAATTGCTATGGCCATTCATCCTGGCTTTGAACTGGGGGAGCTGACAAGGTGTGGTGTGAAGAAGTCATGGGAGCTGATGAGAAGGCCTAGAGTAGCCATAGGAACAGACAGTCGCTGTTAAAGTTTTTTGGTTTTTTTCTTTTCCTTTTTTCAAATATCATGACATGAAAGAAACACAAAAAGAACAGCCATAATTTGCAAATAGAGCCAGGTATAGGGGGAAAATCCTAAGATTACATTTTTAGTTAGTTATTTTTTGTTAGGATGCCCAAAGGTCTTTTGCCAGAGGCATTCAAAAATTGAGATGTATAATTTAGGAAACACAGTATTTTCTCAGACAGGATGACACGAGTTAACTGGAGTAATAAAAAATACTGTAATTTAGTACTATTAATGTAATCAACTATGCTTGAGCTAAAGATGGAGAGATAAATTGACACAAGTGTGAGCAGCAAGTGCTGGTTACATAGTAACCATTCACTTTACCTGCAGGGTAAGGTAAATCAGCAGACAGCAGACAGCCGCAACAGGTGCATCCAGCAACTGGAATTCCTCCACCATGTCCTGAAGGTGAAAGCATGCCAGAAACATGCTATACCGTAGTGTTTGCACCTCTGGTCCTTTAGTGAGCCACAATGTTCTCAAACTAGGTGTTCCACCTACAAAAGAAATCCATTATTTTATCTTTACAATAGGAAGATAAGACAAGCTTTGCCTATTAAATTAAACCAGTGGTTCTCAATCTATTTATCATTGTGGGACACAAATGCAGCTCTCTATGTGTTGTGTGGGCCACGTCCACACAATATATACACTAACCGTATGAAACCTGAAGATGTCACATGGGCCGCAGCTGTGTGCTGATTGTGCCGCAAGTGGCCCATGGGCTGAGAACCACTGAATTAAACATTAAGAGGAAACACTTGTTCTGCTCTTTAAGTTTGCAAGGAACAAAATGTGAAAATTAACTGAATTTACATTTGCAACAAAGTTTGGTTTGGGGGGGGGGGGGGGGGGGGGGCTGCAATCTAAACAAGTTTCATTGAAGAGAGCTACACTTTTATACCCGGATAGTGGAAGCACCTCTGAGCCAAAGAGGATTCATCCGTTGGGACAGCAGGCTTTGTCTGCGCTACTGCCCTTCCCGTAAGAGCTCCAGTGTGCAAAGAGAGGTCAGTATTAACCTGAAACAGGGGTTTGATAGGAATCAGCATGTCCCCCAGGGGGTAAATCAGTGCGTCCTTAGTAACCGTGGTCATGCCCTTCTCTGGGCCAGCACCTACTTTTAGGAATGACACTGGTATTCCCCTGGCAGAGTAGTGGTTGTAGGTAACTTCTGCCACAGCAACTCCTCTTGAACACTCCACTACTGTCAGCCCCCTGCATTAGGTCCAGTGGCATAGTCCAGAGCTAAATCAAACCCACCAGGGCTTATTTATTCCCCCAGACTACAGTATGATAATGTCACTACTAATAAACACACATGCGTTATGAGACTAATTATGTATCAAGTTATATCAATCTAGGCATTTTTAGTGGACCCTTCAGTATGGTAACAAGGGAGATCCACAAAGGCTCCTAATTCCTATTATTTTCAATGGAACTTTGGAGCTCTCCACTTACATTACATTTAATCCACTGTCAAAATAAATAATATTGTGGGTGAAATGCCAGGTGGATATCTAGACAGCTGCACCAAAAAATCCCAATTAATGATACACACCTACTGTAAAGCAATGTTGCTTTTGTTGTTGAATAAACAGAGAGGTGCTAGTTTTAAGACTGGACAGACAAAGCTACATTTGGTAACACATCTTCCTTTATGATGAGCAGCAGCTGCATTCTACAATTAGGGCCACTTGGCAACAAGCGATTAAAGTGTCAAGGTGCTGAGATCTAGATGGCTGACGTGTTTATTTAGCAAAGAAAGCCATTAACCAAATGGTACTGTGCCTAGAGAAAGAGAAGTTAAAAAGCAAATCCTTAAATATTTTCCTCCCTCACTCTCCAGAATGTTTACTTTAATATTCTCAAGACTATAGTTCCCATCAACAGATGTCAATCACAGGAAAAAGAACTGTTCATGCAACCTTGACAAAGTTCTTTGCTTTTACCGTACCAAATAAATGATGATTTTTCAGTCTTCAATCACTTTGTAGGAAAAATATGTATACTCTTCAGGAAAACATTAATAGTTTGACATTAATTAGCAAAAAGAATAATAATTTGTGCTAAAAATAAGACTAATACCACCACATACAACAGAAGTGATAGTGTCACTTTATACAGTATTGATGAGACCTAGAATATTGAGTCCAATTCTGGGAATCGCTGCATCAGAAAAAAGTCGACAAACCGGAGAGAGTTCAGAAGAGCAACCAGAGAGAGTAATTTGTGGGGGGGGGAGGGAAATAAAGATGAAATAGTTATGCAACTGCCCTCTGGATAGGCAGACACACTCCAAGAGTCAGTTAATAGAAAGTAATCTATTTCATCTCTAATTTCTAAGATTTTATAAATGAATTTTATTTCAAGAGCGTAGATAATTTTACTATTTTCAAAACAACACTGCTTAACAACTGCAGTGGTCATGGAAATCATGTTATATGAGACAGAAATGAAGATCCAAGGACTGGCTCCTCCACAATACATCCCTTGAACAAGTACAATGTACATGCATGCAAGTATGCTGAAAAAATCTCAGCAGAAAAATCAATACATCTTCTCTGTAAAAGATTGCTGATTCCATCATTAATTTAAAATCCACATGTGCGGTGGGAAGAAGAGGGACTTGTGAATTATGAGTTATTTGTACTTGTAAAGGAAACATAATTCTATCTTCTAATTGAACCTACCAACCAATAATAATGCTTCCATCCAAGGATCTCCAAGCATTTTACAAGTAATTAAACTCACAATGCTCTTAGGAGTTTGCTATTATATAACCCTCATTTGACAGACAAGTAAATTGAAATGCAGCAAAGTTTAATGACTTGCCTAAGGTCTCACCAACAGTTTATGGCAAAGCTAAGATTAGTACATCGAAATCCTGATTTCCAGTTCTTTGTTCTACCCACTAGACTATGCTGCTTCTCGGCTAGCTTTAACCATAACTATAATACATTCCTGAGGAAAGAGAGAGGTTTACTTGGATATGGAAGAAAAATACTTTTCTTCTTCTAATACTTCTGGATATTCTTATTAAGGGCTTATCTACATGGTACCACAATCTGAATGACAAGAGTGTGAACTGTAGTGCACTTGAACGTACTATGCTCTAACTGCCCCATGTAGACCCTGCTAGTGTGAACTAAAAGATACCTAGTTTGTGTTGACGTAGTCCCATTTGAAAAAGGACGACATTAATGTGCACGAGGTACCTTTTAGTCTGTCCCAGCAGGATCTACATGGGGCACTTAGAGCACAACATGTTAGAAATGGGACTACAGCAACACAAACTAGGTACCTTTTAGTTTGTGCCAGCGAAATCCAGCTTGGACAGTTAGAATTCAACATATTGGAGAGCTCTACAATTCACACTCCTGTAATTCGGACTGCAGTGCCATGTAGACAAATCCTTTGATTCACTTTTGGAAAAGTTATTTAAGAAACAAAATGGAAAAAAAATCAGAATTGCTGCTTGGGCAGTTGCTACTAGCTGGATTATTCAGGGGGAAATTAACTGTTCTATCTGAGATTTAACAATTACAAGTTTATGTAATCAAAGAAAGATGCCCTATAACACTACAAGATTTTTGTCATTTTCAGTCTTCCTTTATTATGCAATAAAATTGTGTGAAGAACTAAATTTAGGAGTACTCATGCTTATACTCCTTGTGCATTCCTAGAGTGAGAATATCACCAAGATGAGTGGCCTGGTCACCACAGGGTTATGAATTGATACTTTTCTAACAAGAAAGATACTTTTTAGTCAACATGTGAAAAGATCATTGATCAAATTAATTTTTCCTTTTAATTCATGTGCTAGAATAAATGTTGTATTTAAATGTGATCATGTATGAATAAAAAACAAGAAAACCTCACATGCATAGTAAGTCTTTATTTTGGTTGGCTGAGCTTCAATAATTGATTCATAATAAGCAAGTAATGCATTCAGACACAAACTGGTGGAATGCATTAACACCTCAGTGTCATTAAACTCTAGGTTTACATGAAGCTGCTGTATAAATTTACACCAACCTAAGTCACGTCACCACATGGTACAAGCACTGCATGTGCAATATACGAGCTGCACCGTTTAAAAGAAAAAATACAGCTTCTCAACCTGAATAAATAAATAATGAGAGTTGAGATGTGGCTTTATAGTAAAGAATGATATAAATAGAATTATAAAAATATAATAAAACAAACATTTGAGCTGTTTTACATGTATCTGAAGAAACAACTATAAGAAGGGATTTAGAAGACTGCTTATCAGGAATGCTTAACATTAACCTGTCAATCATCTTGGCCACTTTTAAAGGTTTACTGCTGCAAGCCAGAATACTTGTTAAATCTGAGTCTTTAAAATAAATCTTTGAATTACCCTCTTCTGAAACCAAGTATATCCATTACATATGCCTGTAGTAACCAATGATTGGAACAATGAAAGTACAGTACATCCAGGCTCCTCCAATATGAAGTGACATATTTAAATTCACCTACAGTATCTGAGATTTTTTGGCAACAAAATGAAAAGCAGCATCAGAATGTGTTTGTGACAGTAAACTACAGACCCTGAATACATCAAATGGATCAGCTATCTTCAGGAGATAAGGATGTTTTCAAACTCATTAAACGGTACATTCCTAATACACTTCACTTCTCTGTTATCAAATCTAATCTCCGTTAGAAATGTTTTATCAGCATCTTGTTTGCTAGATTACTTCTGGAAGCCAGAACATATAGATTAAATATACATGCATTTTCCTTAAACAGATTTGTATATCCTAGGGTTGCCAACTTTCTAGTCACACAAAACTGAACACCCTTGCCCCACCCCTGCTCTGAGGTCCCATCTCCCGCTCACTCCATCCGCCCACCCCCGTCACTCACTCTCCCCACCCTCACTCACTCATTTTCAGCAGGCTGGCTCAGGGGGCAGGGGTGCAGGAGGGGGTAATGGCTCCGGCTGGGGGTGTGGGCTCCGGGGTGGGGGATGGGGACAGAAATGAGGAGTTCAGAGTGTGGGAAGGGGCTCCAGGCTGAGGGAGTGGGTTGGGATGCGAGAGGTAGGGTGACCAGACAGCAAGTGTGAAAAATCGGGACAGGGGGTGGGAGGTAATAGGAGCCTATATAAGAAAAAGACCCAAAAATCAGGACTGTCCCTACAAAATCGGGACATCTGGTCACCCGGTCACCCTAGCAAGAGGGGGTGAGGGCTCCAGATGAGGGTGCGGGCTCTGGGGTGGGGCCAGGGATGAGGGGTTTGGGCTGCAGGAGGGGGCTTGGGCTGAGGGGTTCGGAGGGCAGAAGGGGGCTCTGGGCTGGGGCAGGGGGTTGGCGTGCGGCGGCAGTGACGGCTCTGGCTGGGGGTGCAGACTCTGGGGTGGGGCTGGGGATGAGGGGTTTGGGGTGTAGGAGGGTGCTTTGGGTTGGCAATAAGGGGTTTGCTGGGTGGGAGGGGGATCAGGGCTGGGGCAGGAGGTTGGGGCGCAGGAGGGAGTCAGGGGTGCAGGCTCCAGGCGGCGCTTACCTCAAGCAGCTCCCGGAAGCAGCGGCACGTCCCCCCTCTGGCTCCTATGTGGAGGCACAGCGAGATGGCTCTGCATGCTGCCCCGTCCGCATGCACCGCCCACGCAGTTCCCATTGGCCATGGTTCCTGGCCAATGGAACTGCGGGGGTGGCACTTGGGGTAGGGGCAACGTATGGGGCCCCACGGCTGTCCCTACGCATAGGAGCCGGAGGGGGGACATGCCAGCTGCTTCCAGGGAGCCACGCGGCACAGAGGTTAGCAGGGAGACTGCCAGCCGCGCGGTGCCGCCAGCTGGACAGCCAACGGCCCGGTCAGCAGTGCTGACCGGAGCCGCCAGGATCCCTTTTCGACCAGGTGTTCCGGTTGAAAACCAGACACCTGGTCACCCTAGTATATCCCCATCAATAGCATGGGGGATGGACAAGATGGTCTAATAGGTCTTTTAAGTTTTTATGTCCATCTTTGCTCAACTATTAAATTAAAGAAAACAAAAGTCATCTAAGGTTTAAATTTAATTTTGGTCTGTTAGATGTGTGAGGGAGAGTAAAGGAAAATCCATACCCTAGTCATTCAAATGGAAGGGGACACGCCAAAATTTCAGATGGGACTCTTTCAGAGGGCTGGGTCATATAAGGATGTGTTTGTATACCTGCACACACACTAGATCTTAAATTATTGTTCTTGAAGCCTTAACACCAGTTATTTTATAACCTAATATTCCATCTTCTATCAGCTGTAAGATTTTCAGATTTTAAGGCATCGTACTTTCTTATGTCCCATAACAAGTATATTTTAGTAGTGTTTTTCCTGTTTTTTTTGAAGATTTCTGAAATCTGCAATGATCCAGATTAAAGTTTAAAATGTATGTCAAAATATAACCTTTTTCTTTAACCACTTCAACAAATTAAGAAACCTGAAAAGATACAGGTGAAAACTTATCCGTAGTGAAGTCAATAGCAAAACTCACACTGATTTCAACAGGGCCAGGATTTCATCCATAATCTCTTAGTACTCTTCTTTTAGAGAAAGTGATGAAATGTTTATATAATATAAAATTTTCCAGAAAGATACATATTTTTATCAGAATCTGCAGCAGAAAACCAAAACCAAACAAACAAAAAACCAAAACCCATCACACATATTACAAATGCCTGTGGTTCAAATAATATCTTCTATCAAGATTTCTTCTTTTTTGTTGGTCTGACTTTGATTTTCAGATTTGAATTCTAACTTCCCATAACAACATCTTTACATTTATCTCCAAATAAGATTCCTATTTGAAAACTGTGATGTGCTGCTGACATCCTTATTTGGTGAATCAGTCATGCAGTGGAAAATAAAAACTGCATGAGAGAATTTAAGTCATACAAATATGGACTGCAAAAAAATTAGAAAACTATTTGTTCTCTGAAGGAATGAAAACAGAGCACTAAAAATAAACACCAGAAGTCATCCTCCCTTTCTGTAATAGTCTGCTCTGTAAGTTAGTAGTTATTAGGGATGAATAAATTTCCATTTTTAGGTTGCACATACTTTTAAAACTATATTTTGGACTTAAATTATTCATGCTTATTCTCAACACGAAGGTGAATGGTATAGCCAGAGCACCTGCCATTTTATGTAAGTCCTTCCCCGACTCTACCACCTGGAAGGGAAGATTTAACCATAGTACTCAGACTGAGTGTTCAGGACAAATTTGGGTCTAAGATTTTACTCCCCCCTTGCCTTTTAAAAACAAATTTTTAAAACCAATACGTGAAGATGTGGTGCTCTGTAAATGCATACTCAAAGGAAATAAAGTGAAAGCTGTATAAGACAGACCAACTGATTATTATACCATGGCTTCATATTCTCCTAGGCATCTCCGGATCCATCTCATACCCCAGCCAGCTGCCCTCCTCCTGAATTCCCCTATCATCTGTATTTGAATGTGCAATCATTACATCACTAGATTCCTAGAGTAGGATGGACAGTCTCCGGGACAGAATACTGGATTTGGACTCAGGAAACCTGGGCTCAGTTGATAGCTCAGCTACAAACTTCCTTTGTGACCTTGGGCAAGTCTTTTAAAATCCTTTGCCTCAGTTATCCACCTGTAAAATAGGGATACTTTGCTACCTCACAGGTGTGTTGTAAGAATAAAATACATTCATTATTTTGAGGTGTCCAGATACTGTGAAGAAGAAGGGCATACAAGTAGCACATGCTTTTCAAATTCTGCATGTTTAGGAGTGCAGTGGCAGCAGGGAAAATGTGGATTTGGGACTAGGGGTGCTGGAACAAATAGAAAGGTCACCAGATTTAATGGGCATCTTCTTATATCATCTTAAAAGGACTTGAGGGATCAAGGAAGGTAGGTCGGTCTTACCAGTTATTTCCTTTACTGGATTGTGTGATAGTCAAGTAAGCTCAGAGGCACATTTCTATATACTATTTATTTTAAAAAGAACCAAAATAGAAAAAATAAACACAACCAATTACACACATGCAACCAGAAAAGTAACAGCAGTTTATGGTGCCAAACAGCTCATGGGAGCACTTGCTAATTCCAGAAAGAGGCAAGGCAGGATAGCTATTATTAATATTCTGTGTTTTAAAATAATACAAATAGAAAAAAATGGCACATTAGTCAATTACTCATAATCCCCTCCTTAACTCATGATAGCTGTGCATTTCCCCCCTCCATTATGTGAACTAAGAATTAAGGACCAAATTATCCATGAGGTAAGCAGACACAACTCCCATTAAAGTCAATGGGAATTGCACCTGCTCGTTTCAGGTCCGAAACTGGACCAAAGGGCCAACTTACTAGCATTTGGTCATTTTTGTCACAGCTTTATTGTTACAATATAGGCCCCAGTCATGAAATAAGCTCTGCAGGGGTCCCTTTGTACGTAGCTCACTGGCAAAGGATTGGGGGTTGGGACCAAAGTTTGGTATTTTATTAGGGGATGCCACATTCTGAGTGGGATAAAACTGAGCTCCTGACACACTTGTTATAAGGGTAAAGGTGTTATCCAAAATATTTTTAGTGTAAATTTCAGCTAGGTAACTGCTTTTGGCCAATCTGAATTCCCTCGGAGAGTGCAACTGGATATGGTATTGCTCACTTCCTATCCTAAACTATTACAGTGCAGCTGTGTGCTATTAAAAAGATGTCACATTCAATCCCAGGGGTGACTGCACTGCGGTGGTAGACAGGCAATTCATATACAGTAGTGTATGAATTAGTATCTATTCAATCATGTAGTTACCAATCAAGTGTAAAACATTTGGATGAAAAATGTTTTCTAAATGTAAAACGGTCCTCTTAATATTACAATCACAATGAAATAGCTGAAATGCTGGTGGTGCATGTGTCCCTTTTCTTAAAGCAAAATAAAGACAGAGAAGAAACAAAGCAGTGCAAACATCAAAAGCAGACAGTGTATGGGCCACAAATAGTAGAAAAAAAACTCACAGGCACCACATAGGAGGTCCAATTACATTTTTTTGAAAATGGGACAATTTTTAGATTTACGTATGGTTTGGTATAACAGCCTCTTTTTGCTTCCTTGTCCTCAAATGCAATATATCTTTGAAACTCTTTAAATAATTGTTCACATCTGTTTCAAATGTCAATTTCTCAAGTACTGTGTGACATTTTAATTTAATACAGTATAATATCAAATTCTGAGATTAAAACTGTTAAACACAGTGCAATTCCAAGCAGTTCTGGAGATACAGCACTAACATTTTAACAACTGGTCTTTCATAATCTTCTTTGACTGCACAACCAAATATCTGATGAAAGATTTTCTAAACAGATTTGTAACCAAATATTCAAATAATATCATTAATCAGTTCAGAGTTAAATATAAAGATGAGATTTTATTCTACCTGGGATGTCAAGCTGTATAGGTTGTACAAGGTCTGGTTGCTCCATTGGATTCCCAAAGTACACAAACCACTCCTTTACTATAGGATAGGCTCCACAGGTGTCTAAAGAATAGACAATTTGATCAATAAACCAAGTACAAGTGTTCACATAAGGGTTGAGAAGAGTGGTGGGAGGAGATTGCAAAGCATTAGTAAGCACCACATTACAACTGGTTGCTCATATACTTTAAAAATACAAGAAACAGTTTAGAGCATCTTTTCACAAGTGATCAGAACAAATGGCTATAGGTTTAGTTATACATTATGACAAGAGTTCAGCATTGGAACTGTAACTGAAAACTCAAGGCAAAATTTTGAGCTGTGCCTGTAGCAATGAGGAGGAGGGGCTAAGTTAGCTTTTTGTGCCCTTCTCATCCTGGGCTGCCCTTCAGTGTAACTTAGCCAGTCTTGGGAACCTATGTTATGTCAAGTATCATAGGGGTAGCCGTGTTAGTCTGAATCTGTAAAAAGCAACAGAGGGTCCTGTGGCACCTTTAAGACTAACAGAAGTATTGGGAGCATAAGCTTTCGTGGGTAAGAACCTCACTTGCATCTGAAGAAGTGAGGTTCTTACCCACGAAAGCTTATGCTCCCAATACTTCTGTTAGTCTTAAAGGTGCCACAGGACCCTCTGTTGCTTTTTATGTTATGTCAGCCTCCCAAGGCTGCCTGATAGACCGCAATGCAGCCCAGACTCTCCACTGTGCTGCATGCTCTAGCCCTGCCCCTAACATTCCCTGCCTGCTCCCAGACCTGACTCTGGCACACATGCTATGTCAGGTCTTGCAAGGGGTCATTACAGGGCAGCCTATACAGCTATCTGCACCAGGGGAATCCTCCTATGGCTAGAACCACGGCTTTTAGGGTCCCTTTATACCACTCCAGTCCTCTCACCTGGTGTAAAGGGACCAGCATGGGGGTTGAGGATCTCATCCCAAAGTATATTTTTCAAAAATGCTTGATGTAATGATTGAGGTAGCTAGCAACTGAGGCTGAGATTTTCAAAAAGGGCCTAAGGGAATTAGGGCCCCCATTTCCCATTGACTTTCATGCCCAGCTACCATTGAAATCTAATGGGAGCTGGATGCCTAACTCTCTCAGGATCCTTTGAAAATCCCAGTTTAAAGGCAAATCATTTGTGAGGAGAGGGGGGAAATGGCCATTTGTCCTTTTTGAATTATGTTGTATAAAGAAGGTCTGAAAAGTCTCCTGGCCCCCCCAAAATAAAATAAAGGTTTTTTTCTTGCTTATTTTTTACCTGAGTAGTATTGGGCATGTCCATGCTTTCCTGATGTTGTTGGAGGTCCCAGAAGCCTCTTTTGCCCAGCACACATTCCTACATATTTGACTAGATTTGTTAGTTGTTATTACCTGGCAGGCTTGCCCTTTTTTTCTGATATGGAAATAGTTATAACCATTTTTCCCCCTAAAAGCATTTAAATGTTACATTTGCTATCTTCATGCTCTAGCTACTTGAAGCTTTTTTTAAAACAATACAATAATTAAGTATTTTGAAAAGTATCCTAATTCTATTTGGCATATTCAACACATCATCTTCATGCTGTAATTTGATTTATAGAAACTTTTCCGGATCACCTCCCATCATTGTGAAAAAATACTAAAATTAGTATTATTCCCCCTGTACATGGTGCTCTCCCTTTTGGTCCAGAATTTGCTTGCATCACAATCATCTCATAAAGCTCAGTGGAGCATGCCCTGAATTTTCACTTCTGTGTTCCAATATGCAATATGAAGAAAACAAATTTGTCAATCTCCAGGCAGATGCTAGAGGATAAAAAAAATCCTACATGAAAAAGATACCCTGAAATTGTATAGCAATTGAATTGCTGAACAGTCTAACATCCTGTTTTGGAATAATAATGTTTTGGAGTGATAATTTTTTATCACTAGTATTCTAGTGTCAGTATTCTAGTGTCATTTTTTGGAAAGAGTTCTGAAATTTGTATTTGTCTTTTTAAAAAAAAGACTTCTGAGCAAGTCAGGATACTTTAATAAAAATTGAGATGCTGGGTTATAAAAATGTTATAATTGAGATTATAAAGTGTCATTGGGTTCTAAATTTGGGTGAAATAAACTATTTTTACACTGAACATTTTTCTGGTACTTACACTGCTCAAGCATTACATACCAAAAAGGAGAGAGTAGTCATAGTAAACCTTTATTATTATTATATTTATGTATGTGTGTGTATCTGTATATACTTGTGAGTGTATATATATATATTTACAAAACATCACAACATCTTGGTGATGACAATCCATCAATTATATAAATACACGATTATTCAAGTGAGGTAGTCAAACAAACAATGACTGTTAAAAGCATGATTCTATACAACTGACAACATAGAAATGCAACAAGAACAGGACAGGGCTGTGAATGCCGAATTCAGTCTCTCCCCAATACTGGAAACAAGGGTCCATCCTGGCTACAGCTCAGGTGGCATAATAAAACCTGCTGCACTAATTAGACAAACTCCTTAAATGCCACAAGACAGAAAGCCTCTGCCTGCCAACAAGACATTCGTATTACCTTTGTTCATATCTACTACATATCCTGGCAAAACACTGATGACAAATCTTTTTAAGCAGCATGGCTCCCGGGGTGCCAGGAAGTGAGCCATTCAAAGGAATATATTTTAAATTCTTTACCGTTCAAAGACCAAAATGTAACACCTGAGTGACATTTGAAGGAAAAAACCACCCTGCTGATTTCTCTTTGATCAAGTAAAACATCCACTGAAATTGTGCATTAGTGCTTCTCTTTTGGGTATGATTCCAAAATACACCAAGTTAAGAATTAATAAAGAGAGATTTTCATGGAAGAACTCAATGTGAATAGTGACCTCATATTCACCTCAAATCTTATACCATAATCTAAAATGACTGCTCCTTCAATCCTGAGGGATCCCATTAAATTCCCAACTCCCTTAGAAACTTTTGATAATCCCAAACTACATTTTCAAAGTACTTCTGCACGATATATACAGAAATCACCACTGAAATCCAGACACATCTGGAGTGGAAAATGGCAGCTATTTAAAAAAAAATAAACATTTTTGTGAATGATCTGTGAATTACTGTTGTCTATTAGTATAAACAAAATTCCAAATTGGATAGGACCCGTGTGCAACATGCATAACATAATTTATAGAAGTCTAAAGTTATGTTACATATACTCCTTCACATCTGTGAACACTTCAGCCCTACTGAGTGCATATTGGTGACAGCAAGCACAGAATCCTCCACACAGATGTCTTTTGGCAGTGTCAAAGCAAGGGTCAGTTTGGCAGACTAAGCTTAGAACTGGGAGTAATTCCATGATCTCTAGGAGTCAGCCAAGTATTTATGATACATTACATACTTTTAAAATTAGCAATAGCAATACAGGTGCAGACATTTCCATGTAATGAGCGAATTCTAAAACATAACTGCCAGCTTTGTTCAGAATTATTACAAAAAATAATCTGTTTGGGTTATGGAGGTGGGGTTAACAGAAGCATTATCCACTATTAACTTTTTCTCTGTCTAAAATACTTTTTCCAGTAGTATTATTAAAGTATTATTAAAAGAAAGATGATAAAAGCTCAGTGCTGTATAGGTAGTATGTCTGCTAAATTATATTTAAGGAACTAATGTAGCCAAATGAAACACCTTTATTTTAAAACTTTAGCCAATACCTGCTGTCATGGGCAAGACCACAATCAAGCCCGTACTTTTTAATGAGTCTCAAAATATGGCCTCTATCTTGCAAACACGTCAGGACTTGTGTGACTGACTTTACTCATGAGCAGCCACATTAGTAAAGGTGAGCACGTGCTTAAGTGTTTGCTTGATCAGAGCCTGAGGGGAAAACGTCATAGTTTATTAAGGTGGGGATTAAAGGATCTAAAGGTAGCTAGGCCCCCAATTACTACTGAATTCTCAATTCCCTTAGGCACCTTTGAAAAACACAGCCTAAATTCTCAATCCTGAGGAGCTTCTGGGGGGGAGGAGCCCTGAGGCAGCAGTTTGTGTGACATTTCCATCTATTCTGAGCTAACTGTTTTTTCAAAAATATCTAGCGACTAAAAGAAACCAACGCATGTCAGATGACTGCAAAAAGAAAAGGCCAATTTCTATGACAGGAATGTCAACCTGATGGATTTTAAGGATTCAAAAAAATTAGTACAATATTTAATAAAAATATAATACTAGCTAAATGATTTCACTTGCTCCCTTCCCACTTCTCTTTTTAAACTGAGAGGTTTTAAGAAAAATCACGTTTACAGAACAGACCATCTGATAGCATTGTTTGAGGGAGAAATTGGTAAGTGATGAACACCAACAATCTTTCCTTAAAGTTCTAAGAATAATTTCTGGAAAAACAATGCAGTATTGTCTATAACAGGGTTCAAAAAAGAACTAGATATGTTCATGGAGGATTGGTCCATCAATGGCTATTAGCAGGGATGGTGTCCCTAGCCTCTGTTTGCCAGAAGCTGGGAATGGGCGACAGGGGATGGATCACTTGGTGATTACCTGTTCTGTTCATTCCCTCTGGGGCACCTGGCATTGGCCATTGTTGGAAGACAGGATACTGGGCTAGATGGACCTTTGGTCTGACCCAGTATGGCCATTCTTATGTTCTTATTTTAATTATGAATTGCCACACCAACAGCTTGTACACACTACCACTTATATCGGTAAAACTTATGTCAATAAGGGGTGTGAATAAGCCACCCCCCTGAGCAACGTAAGTTACACCGGCGACCTAAGCGCTGCTGTGGACAGTGGTATGTCGGTGGGAGATGGATTTATTACACTGGCAGGAGAACTCTCTCCCATAGACAGTCTTCACCAGACACACTGCAGCAGCATAGTGCAGCTGTGCCAATGTAGTGCTTCTAGTGTAGACTAGCCCCAAATTTGTCTTGGCTTGACACACAAAAATCTATATGATAACAGTCTGCCATTCTACAGCTGCAACTGTTAACTAAAGACACTAGTCTTAGGGCTTGTCTACACTGGCAAAGTTAAAGCGCTGCCGCAGCAGCGCTTTAATGTGGCTTGTGTAGTCACGGTACAGCTCTCTCCCAGCGCTCTAAAAAAACCAGCTCCACGAGCGGCGCGGTTCCCATCGCTGGTGCACTGTCTACACTGGCACTTTACAGCGCTGAAACTTGCAGCGCTCAGGGCAGTGTTTTTTCACACCCCAAGCGAGAAAGTTGCAGCGCTGTAAAGTGCCAGTGTAGACAAGCCCTTAGTTGTGTGTGTTTCTGCAGACATCACTGAAGTCCTGCTGCTCAGAGGAGTAAACAAAAGCCAACCAGGCTGTAATTGTCCTCAAAAACTGAGACACAATGGGCTGAAAAATGAAAAATGGCTGTTGCGCATTATTTTTGCTGAAACCTATGTTGTTCTCTCCATGTGCCTTTTAAACTCTGAGTCACTTTTTCCTATTTTTTTCCTTTTACTGTAAGACTTCAATCTTCAGTTGACAAAGGAAGTCAGGTGCCCAATTACGTGATTTCTCAGTCTGTAATAAAAACATTAGTTTAACTGATGTCGAACTTTCATGGCTAACCATACAAAGTAAATAGTATGAGAAAACATATTACAAAACACAATAAAAGTGCAACAACAGTTTTTCATTTTCAATCCATTGTCTAAAAACCTTTGGAAGCTTGAGGCAAAAGACACGTAAAAATAGAACCGTTATGAAACAGAAGACTTAAGATCATAAATTTTCCACTCGGATCTGTACAAGTAGATTCCACATAGGCAGATCCAGTTACAGAATTGGGTCCAAATCAGTGGGGAAAGAAATAATATTTTCTCACTCACAACTGGATAAAATAAATACAATTCTCAAAAGTGCTTCCATTTATTTTTATTTATAGTTAGCTCAATAATAAGAATTGCTTAAAACCTCCTTTTATTTGCAAACAAAAAATTAGAGTAAAATTATTAAATTTTATAACTATTTTTTTAAAGTACGTAAATGATCGTTACTTTAACCTCTGAAGAAGCCTTGTATTAAGACTTAGGACTATCGTGGAAGCAAAAGAATGTTCCCATATTTCTTAACCTATTAGAACATTCTAAACTTAAATGATTTTGCTCAGTCTTCTGATCATTAATAACTTTCACATGTATTCTTTTAACAATAAACGAAAAAACACGGAGTTATTTTTGTAACTTAAAAAACTTAAAAGGTACTAAAATTCAACAGTATATAGAAACATTACAACATTCTAATTTTCATGATTTCTGATTGATTCCTTACTAATTACATGTGTATTGCCCACAGCATTTATCCTAAATGTGATGCAGATGTGAGCCACTGAAATTGGAATTAAAGAATTTAGATTTCAAAAATAGTTTAAAATATCCTCAAAGTGTAGTTGTAGCAGTGTCGGTCCCAGGACATTAGAAAGACAAAGTGGGTGAGGTAACATCTTTTATTGGACCAACTTCTGTTGGTGGGAGAGACAAGCATTCAAGCCACACAGAGGTCTTCTTCAGGTCTGGGAAAGGTATTCATAAGAACGTAAGAATATAAGAACAGCCATACTAGGTCAGACCAGTGGGTCCATCTAGCCCAGTATCCTGTCTTCCAACATTGGCCAATGCCAGGTACTTCAGAAGGAATGAACAGAGCAGGCAATCATTGAGTGATCCTCGGTCACCCACTCCCAGCTTCTGGCAATCTGAGTTTAGGGACACTCAGAAAATGAGGTTGCATCACAGTCCATCTTGATTAATAGTCATTGGTGGACCTATCCCCCATGAACTTATCTATTCTTTTTGAAACCCATTATAGTTTTGGCCTTCACAACATCCCCAGCAACAAGTTCCACAGGTTGACTGTACATTGTGTGAAGAAGTACTTCTTTTTTTGCTTTAAACCTGCTGCTTGTTAATTTAATTTCATTAATCAATTGGCTCCCCAATATACAAACCTCTTCATGGGCCATCCTGAAGAACTACTGCTGGACTAATGCACCACAAAACCCGAGGTACATGGATGATATTTTCATTCTCCGGACAGACGGCTTAACGTTCCTCATAGATTTCTACCACAACTTCAACAAGTACCACCTGTCCATTAAACTCTCTGTGGAACACTCCCACACTAGCATCAACTTCCTAGACACCACAATCAGCTTCAACAATGGAACCCTACAGGCAACCATACAAAAGAAATCCACAGATCACCACACCTACCTTCATAGATCCAATAATCTCCCCAAACACATCAAGAAATCTGTTATCTTCTACCAGGCACTCACACACCACAGAATGTGCTCCAAGATGAAAGTCCGGGATATACGCCTTAACACACTCAAAACTGCCTTCACCAAACAAGGACGCTTCACTAGAGAAGTAGATCACATCATGGAATGGGCCACACAAATACCCCAAGAGAATCTCCTTCAATACAAAAATGAAACCCCCTCTGACCACAAGCCCTAGCTGTCACATACCACCCGACACTGAAACCCGTACAGAGTATCATCAAACAACTACAACCCATACTTGATGGGATCCCCATCCAGAAAGAAATCTTTCCTGAACCCCACACTTCTGGCCTTTAGACAACCCCCCAACCTCTCCAAGATCGTCATCAGAAGCAAGCTCCCCACAGACCAGGACACATCAAAGTAACACCAAACCCTGCCAGAACAAAGATGCAAAACCTGCAGACATAACACCCCTCACCACACACCTTTCAAGATCCCTGGATCCTACACATGCCTATCACAACATGTGGTACACACAGTGATGAGCTGCCAAAATATTAACAACCGGTTCCCTCCTCCTCACCCCACGAGGGGGTCGTGCCCCCCCGCCCCCGGGACTCCTGCCCCATCCAACCCCCCACGTTCCTAGACAGCCCCCCCTGGGACCCCTGCCCCATCCACCCCCCTTCTCTGTCCCCTGACTGCCCCCTGCCGCCCCATCCAACCCCTCCTCTCATTCCTGATGGCCCCCCGGGACCCCTGCCCCATCCAACCACCCCTTCTCTCTGTCCCCTGACTGCCCCATCCAACCCCTGCTCCTTCCTGACCGCCCTCCGGGACCCTTGCCCCCATTCAATCCCCCTGTTCCCTGCCCTCTGACCGCCCCGACCCTAATCCACACACCCCAACTCCCCGGCCCTCTATCCAACACCCCCTCCCTGCTCCCTGCCCCCTTACCGCGCTGCCTGGAGGTGGGGGCCGGGCTGGGGCCGCTGGGCCGGAGCCGCTCAGCCTGGGCCGGGGCTGGGACCGGAGCCAGGTCACTCGGCCAGGGCCGGGGCCAGGCTGGAGCCAGGGCGCTCGGCCGTCCGGGGTCAGGCCGGAGCAGCGCTGTCCGAGGTCGGAGCCAGGCCGGAGTCAAGCCGCACCGCCCAGGGCTGGGTCAGAGCCACACCGCCTGGGGTCGGGGGCGGGCCGGAGCCTCGCTGCCAGCCGGCCGGCTAGGGCCGGGCCCAGGCTAGAGCCACGCCGCCCGGCCGACCGGGGTCGGGGTCGGGCTCCGGGTCGGAGCCATGCCGACCGGGGTCGGGGTCGGGCTCCGGGTTGGAGCCCGGGAAGCCGCTGCTTCCTTCTCAGCCCTCCCAGACTTCCCGCGCAAACAGCTGATTCGCAGGAAGCCGGGGAGGGGGAGGAGAAGCCAGGGGAGCGTTCAGGGGAGGAGGCGGAGCGAGGTGAACTGGGGCCGGGAGAAGGGCAGGGAGCTGCTGGAGCTTTTGTTAAATGTAAAAGCCCTTTTAGAACCGGTTGTCCCTTGCGGGACAACCGGTTCTAAAAGGGCTTCTAAATTTAACAACCGGTTCCTGCGAACAGGTGGGAACCGGCTCCAGCTCACCTCTGGGTACACATCATCCAGTGCACTAAATGCCCCAATAACAACTATCACTACGCTCTCAAATGAACATACACAGGAAAATTATAAAAGACAGAAACACCCTATCATCTGTGGGTGAACACTTCTCACAAAGCAATCATGCTGTATCTGACCTATCCTCAAAGGAAATCTGCACAACATTTTCAAAAGACATGCCTGGAAGCTTAAATTCATCACTCTGCTAGACACTAAAAATTATGGACTGAACAGTGACACTAGATTTATGGCTTATTACAACAATCTGTAACCCACTAAACTACTCTTTTTGTCCTATGACTGCAGAAGTGTTAACGGGCCACTCTACCTTGAATAGTCCCTTACAATATATGCTAACTACTTATTCTAAACATTCTATTCCGCTTTGCATTTTGCTGTGAGGCTGGGAGCACCTTTCCCAGACCTGAAGAAGAGCTCTCTGTGGCTCGAAAGCTTGTCCCTCTCACCAACAAAAGTTGGTCCAATAAAAGATATTACCTCACTCTCTTAAATAATTAAAGTACGTGGTCCAATCTGCATGCCCTAAGACTACTTGTCTCTGACAATGTGCAGCGAATACAGGGATAATCCTTACCTTTTCCGGATTCCAGCAGAACAGAATAAATATGTTGTCGAACTGGACGGTAGATAAGTGCCTGTCCAGGAAGTTCTGTATCAAGTTCATCTTCCAATGTATTGCTGCATTCAACCTCTCCTTTACTGAGGACATTGTACACCATATAATTTTCAGCTCTGACGTGTTGTTCTTTAGCTAGCTGTTCAAATGGGGAAGAAGTCATTTATTTTCTACTTTAAAATTAAGAAAACAAACAACGGCAAAATTAACTTATTTTTAAAATAAACATTTCCTCTGATCTTGGTGAAATGATGCCCAGGAAGGAAACAACTGATATTTCAAAATATCAGAATCCTACATTTTGCCTTAAGGACAAGGGAAATAATATAATCTCATTGGTGTGTAATTTTTTTGTGAAGAGGAGGAGTCCCCAGGATTCCCGTCATTCTCTTCCTATTATTCCCCCACTCACCATTCTCAATGGCGATTAGTGGCAATGTCTTTGCTACCAGTAACTCCCATCAGAGAAAATCAGTGCTACTCTTTCAGTCAGCTGAGGCCTTGTCTTCACTGCTAAAAAGGGTGTATTTTTTTAAATTTGGGGTAATTAACATGTGAGCTATCCCAAGGTGAAAACACAGCAAAGACAAAGTACTTTAGTTTTACTGTGGGGTAAACCAGGTGAGGTTGACCCCAGACAGGGATACAGTACTGACCTCACCTTTTTTAGCAGAGAAGACAAGGCCTAAAGACTGTCACTGGAAAGCAACATACAACAAGGGGACAAGCTCATTATTTCTGCAACATTTCCAGTCTGTACCTAGGAGCTCAGGGGCCCACATTTGGAAGCAAGCTTTGCTGATGCTAGACTAGGGGACCAGCATAGCTTGTTTTACAAAAATCATTTCAGGCTTTCATGATTTTACCCTGATTTGTACACTCAGAAAATAGCTATGTAAATTACAAGGCCATAAATGCCACAGTGAAACCTATCAATAGCAATATTTCACATTTATATAGCATCTCTCATCCCAAAGGATCCACATACCACCACTGAGATGCAGCTATCTAAAAGGAACATGCTGGCAATCAATCAGTGCACAGCACACCGCACAACAGCGGGGAGCGGGGGAGGAAAATTTTTGGATAAGCATAAAAGACATCAAAATCTTTACTGTCCAAACAAAGTAAACAGGGTTTCAGTTTACTAAATCAACTCTATATTAAGTTAATAAATGAAGGACTTGCATCAGGTTTTTTATAGCACTCATTGCTCTAGCAGTTATCTGCAGCACCCATTAGCATAGTGCCGATGGCTACTCCAGAAGAGGTGTTTATAGCTATTTTACCAATTATATCCTCAATGAAGTAATAAGTATCCTCAATGAAGTAATAGCCCATTTTAGATGCTACAAAATTGGATTAGGACTTGATACAAAATATGCCACACTAATAATATACTTCATTTCATTTTATGCATATAGCTTGCATAGACGTGAGTTCACAAATTTTATGAAATTGCAAGTTTGGTTGCCACAATGTACCAGAAATCCATGATTTACAATACACTGAAAAGTAAAAACACAAGTTGGGCTCCATACTAACTATGGATACAAGTGTAATTGACACTGCATCTTGAAAAATGTTTCTACTGTATATAAATAGGCAGACACAAGAGGTGCAAACTTTTCAAGACAAGCAGCATTGAGAGCCAGTGTATGCAAGGCTGGAATTGAGGTATATATGTAGACTTGTTTGCATTTAAGATAGCAGAGTTGTGTTCGTTCCAAAATGTGAGCACTTGTATTTGCTTTGTCAATGTTTAAGCATGGAAAAACAAACCATATATCTACAAATTAGACTAAGTTCTTTGGGGCAGGGACTTCTTTACTTATAAAGAAACAAGTACAACAGGGCCACAATCTTAAGTGGAGCATCCAGACATTATCATTTATTAACTGATTTTATTACACTACCTCATCATCTTAGGAAACTGCATCCTTTTAGATTAAAGATCAAACCGAGGTAATGATCATGATGACATCTCAAGGTTCCTTCCAGCCCTACCCTTCTACGATTCATGATATGTTCTGTAACAGAAGGGATGTTAACTCTGGTGTCCTGGCCATATTCCAACTTAGGGCATGTCTATATGTACAGCACTACAGGGGCACAGCTGTACCGATGCAGCTGCACGGCTGCAGCGCATCTGGTGAAGACGCTCTATGCTGACCGGAGAGAACTCTCCCGTTGGCATAAAAAAAATCACCTCTGCAAACGGGAGAGAGCTTCTCCCGCCAACATAGCACTGTGCACATGAACGCTTATGTCGATGTAACTTACGTCGCTCACAGGGGTGGAATATTCACACTCCTGAGCAACATAAGTGTTGTCGACATAGGCTGTAGTGTAGACATAGCTCTAGATAATTAAATTTTACCTACCTAAACTTCCTTCGCACTTTCAATCAGAAACAATATTCTTCTTCATTTTGGCCTTACCACTCTAACAGGAGTCATTACAATCAATTATATGTGGATGTGTATCTTTAAACAGTTGCTATATTTTATCTGAGTGATGGCTGCATTTTAAAAGTGGACTAAGTGAATACTGTGTAGTTTTTATTTCAGTTTGTAAGTGCTTTGGAATCTTTTGGGATGGAAATCATAATATAAATATAAAATATACTTTCAAATTATACTCAGACAGATTTTTTTTTAAGATAACTAAGAGAGGTAGACAGAGAGATCCTATCTATGTTCAAAGCCTATGGGCACCTAACAAAATATGGCTCTTAAATTACATCCTACACACAATTTCTAAAAGGGCATTTTCTTGAAGTCTCAAAGTTTTCTCTTAATAAACTGTCATAGATTTAACATTGTCATGTCAACAAAAAGTCTCACAAAATATATTAGAGAATTAACAAATCTCTGTGTTTCTGGTTACCAAAAAAAAGACTTGGTACATTCAAGGAAAAAGACTATTCTTAGCTTGATCCTGAAGTACCATTGCCTGTAAAACTCCCGACCATTACTGGATCATCCTTAGCATTCAGTAAGGAAAAGAATATTTTGCTCGGAAAAAAAAGATATATTTGAGTTCACTCATTATCACATGTCCGTAAACGTTTACAGCAAAAGGGTGATGGCAAAGCTTTAAGAGATGAGATACCTGAAAGATCTCCTGATCTGGACATATGGCTGTTTCTTGCTTGAGAATTTGAGAATTTGATACACTGGGAGGAAGCCATGGAGACTGTTGGCCAGGCAAGAGATAGGACTCCACTCCCCTGTAAAGTAATTTCTTGTCTGATGCCAAAGGTAGCATTTCTTCCAAGTCTTTCAGGCTACCATATGAGCATGGAACTCTTGATATGTAGCTTGCTACAGCTAGAATTATGTTAGCCCTTTTGTCATAGCTCTGGCTCTTTGGAGGACATGAAGCTAGACATTTCCACCAGAAACCCTCCAAAATGTCTTCTGGAACTATATCATTCCCAAGCAGGCAAGCAAAAAGAGGGAGGTCTGTTATGTTGAGGCCCAGTGCATGACAGAGGTTCTCTCTAGAGTACATAACAGTGACCATCCTGTCCAAGCAGAGTTTATTAATAGAAAAATAGGGAGAGGTGTTATAGATGAGGTAGTCGGTATCTTGTCCAAGAATTCCCATGCAATTATTTTGCAGCCCATAAGAGGCCACCTCATAGTCTGCCTCTTGCAATGAACATATTGTTTCTTGACCAAGAGACTTTAAGGCAAAGCGTGTAAAAGTTGCCAACCCTGAAGGAATAAAGAACATCCCTCTCCCTGGTTGTTGTCTATAGGACTTGAGGAACTGAAAGATTCTGGCTATTTCTTTGTTGTTCTTCAATCTTCGTTTGACCCATTCATCTCTCTTTTTCTGCTCTACAACACCATCAAAGCAGAACACCAGCTTGATATCAACTGCCATAAAAGCTTTAATAAAATCCTGCAAATTAGCAAGGTACTCTTGCCACTGGCCACCACAGACCCAGGATTCTGGTGTGTACCAGTGTCGAATACAACCCATGGCATCTACCACAATTACAGGAGGGGAGTCAGGATGACTGATGTGATGTTTTTCTGCCATTTCCTTCAGATTTACCATTGTACATGCATCAGGGCAAGCGTTTGCCACAAACCACTGCAAACCTTTAATGCCCATAGTTGCTCTTTTTAAGCCGAATTCTCTGAGCAATCTGAAAAGGGAAACAAAAAACAAAAATGTTCTAAACCACAATATTAAGAGAGAAGCAACATTCAATGGTTAGACAAGGGAACTGGGAGTTCAACGAATGGGGTTCTGTTTCTAGTTTTGCTAATGATTCCTTGTATTATCTTAGGCCTTAACTCTCTAAACCTGTTTTTCCATCTCTAAACTGGGGGATAAAACCTATCCATCTTTGTGATGCACTTTGTCTTCCATCTTTAGTTCTCACTATATCAGCACAAAACATTATAACTATGCTAAAAGTATTAATTTGAAAAATCAAGATGAACAAAGCTCAAATAAACATTTATTTTTAACACAAAAACACAAAGTCTACTTTAAAAATTCAGTGTGTTTGTTTATAGGGACTCAAACAGATACTGACAATAAAAAGTGTGTAACTTTTCCTTTGCCAAGGGGGTTTACAACATAGAGACTACTAGCTTGACTTTCAGAGGTCCTCAGCACCCACAGCTCTAACTGAAGTCAGTGGAAACAGGGGCTCAACAACTATGAAAAGCAGCCCACAGCCTTGATCCTGCAATTGGATCCACGCAGGCAAACCTCCATGCCTACTTGAAGCTTCAGTATAGTCAATGGTTCATCCTCATGAATCCAACTGCAAGACTCAGACCCATACTTCTGCATGTTGCTTCAGTTGTATTTTGATTTTAAAATCTTATGCATTTTACTATCATGTATTTTCAAGACTCAAAAGCTAAATTTCAGAACACATTTAAATAATTATGTCCCTATTTATATGTAGTAAGTTTATGATAACTTGACTGTTAAAAGGATTAACACTTTAAAGTGGTCACTATAATGCGTGTTCATTTTGAATCAATTAATCTGAATAGAAAAAAATATACATACTGACTACAATCTTAATACAAGGAAGGGATGAAATCAGATTTTTCTGTATTAAAAACTGCCAAACAATAATAGAAATATGGATTCCCCCATCATTTTCTGTGTTTAAAAACATGCAAAGGAACCCAAGTTATATATTGTGAAAATAAGTATGGGAGAAGGGTTAAAATTAAAACCTACAACCACCTCCATTTTTGTTTATAGAAATCCCTGCTCATAGTAAATGACTTACATAGCTTTAATGACAGCTGTCTTTTTCTACTAATACAAAGGCTTTTTATTTCAAAGGATTTTCTACCCAAACCTGCTGGTGACGATACTGAATTTTTTATGCAGCAAGACAAGCTCATTTTTCTTTTTACTTTGACTTTATTCAAAATTGTCCCCTCCTTTCTGACACAAACAGTGAGGAAATTCACTGCATGTTTTAATTAAGCAAGTACAAGTATTCCTGTCTTTCACACTGCTCATTTCTCACATTTTGACTTACAAACTACCTCAGGAGTGTTTAAAAAAAAGAAATTGAATACGAAAAGTATCATGAATTTACAACTCTGAAAGGTGCCTATGAGCCTTTCTTCCTCCTCAGAGTTGTAACACCCTTCACATGCAATTTTCAAACACCCTCTTCAGTGTGAAGTGAGATTAAATGTTTAAAGCAATCTAGAACTAAACTGTGGATATTACCTTTTGTAACAATAGAAATATGTATCCCCATCACCACCGTACAGGTATATAAAGTATAGTGTTGCTTTCCCAAGCACTATTTCTAGGGCCATGTGGGTGTCCTTCAAATTCCAGCTGTGTGTGTCATAAAACAGAGGTTTTCACTCACAGTTGCACCTGTGATCACAAGAGGAGTTACACATCTCTTTAGTTTGAGTACTGGTGTATACAATTGCACCATAAAGAGTTCCTTAAAAGGAAGTTATCACATTTCCATGGAGACCCAGCAACAGATGGACCTGTGAACTGAGAGAACCCCTCCATCACCCAGATACTGTTGTTTGCAGTTACACCAAGTGATGTGGTGAGGTCTGCCACTGGGTTTTTGAAAGGAACCCACATGGTTTCTGCAGAAATGCACTGGGTCCAAGCAACAGTTTTAGCTATGAAGATCCAGGAAAAGGAGACACTCTCCCCCCATCCAGGTGCTGAAGTAAGAAGCTGCACTAAATAATCTAGAAGCAGCACTGTCTAAAGGTGATGCAAATACTCTCCAGCCTTCATGGCTATATCAATATCTGAAATAGTCTCTCACATAACTAAGGCCAAGCTATACTAGGGACATTTTCAGAAAACTTCCCACTATTGCCAGTACTAGTTCAGTAATGTCAATAACAGCAATGCTGGGGAACCTAGCGTAGACAGACTGCTGGCTGCCATAAGTATTTTCAGCACTGTCATTTAACCATACTCAAAGTCCGGGGTTCTCGAACTGGGGGTCGGGACCCCTCAGGGGGTCACCATGTTATTACATGGGGGGTCGCGAGCTGTCAGCCTCCACCCCAAACCCCGCTTTGCCTCCAGCATTTATAATGGTGTTAAATATATAAAAAAGTGTTTTTAATGTATAAGGGGAGGGGGGTCACACTCAGAGGCTTGCTGTGTGAAAGGGGCCACCAGTACAAAAGTCTGAGAACCCCGGCTCAAAGCAGATGTAATCAACACAATGCTACTTTTTGTGCATTAATTTTAGTGCTGGTGAAAGATAACAGACAGTACTGGAGGTTTAAGTCTTTTTAACCACAGAACAGCTACAGCCTGAGTAACAGCAGCAGTGCAAGCTTCCTGCATTGCCCCACCTCTCCAATGGGCCTTAACCATGACCTGACAGACTACCTCTAAGAGGTCAGACAGTTCAGTCTCCAGGTGCATTCAGTCCTCAAACTCCCTGCTGAGACTGACAAGGGTACCAATTTGGGGTTGTCTACATCAGAGATTCTCAACCTTTTTCTTTCTGAGGCCCCTCGCAACATGCTATAAAAACTCCAGGGCCCAGTGAGAGGGGGTAGGGGGAGAGAGACCCTCTGGGCTTCAGCCACCAAAACAGGGGACTCAGCTGGGGGGAGGGGAGCCTTTAGCCAGGCGGGGCTGGGGGCTCCAGTCACCAGGGCTTCTGACCTGTAGGACACCAGGGCTTGTGGCTCTGGATTTCAGCCCCGCGGGGGGGCAGTGAGGCTCAGAGTGTCTGGCTTTTAGCACCCCCGAGGGGGGGAGGGGAGGAATTCCAGGGCTTGGGACTCTGGGTTTCAGCCTCGCTGCTCCAGGCTTCTGCCTCATGGAGCACCGGGGCTCATGTTTCCGAGCTTCAGCCCCACAGCTCTGGGTTTCAGCCCCACTGGGGGCGCTAGGAGTCTGGGCTTCAGCCCCACGGGGGGCACCGGAGCTCAGAGTTCCAGGCTTCAGTCATGGGGCCTCACAGACCCCTGGTTGAGAACCGCTGGTCTACATAACAAAATTTGATCATGTTTGAACACAACTGTGAACAATAAAATAAGATATGATTATGACCATGACTAAGTCATCAGTGTAGACCAGGACAAATCATGCTCAGCTTCACATCAAACAACAGGATACTGAACCTGTTTTTTCCTGGGCTACCCTAAACACTAAATTATAGTCAAAATCTAACAATCATTTACAATCATGCTTAAATGTAACATTTTGCAATGTAGACAAAAAACTTAGTGATAAATATGATGTTTTTTTCTGAGGATTCTGGGATCTGGGCTGAGACCACTAAATTATTTTATGTAGTTCAGATAGCTCTCACTTTTAAAATACTTTTTGAACATTAATGACCTAGGCTAACTTACAACTAAGAGATTAATGTTTCTATATTCTATCGCCAATCTTGTGAGCCACTAGTCCCCCTACAAAACAAGAAAACGGATCCTGAATCAGTCGGTTATTCAGGTTCAGTAGCAGATTATTACACAAGCAGACCCACTGATTGCAAGACTATTTAACCTGAATAAATGTAGCAGAATTGGGCCACAAATGCTTTGTTCTAAAATTCTGGGTAGATTTCTAACAGCCTTTCCATCTTTAACACAGAAAATACATACACAAATATCATTTGTTTACATCTAACACACAAAAAAGCTAAACATTTATTTTTAACACTATTTCCTTGGGTAACTAACAAGTTAACTGCTAACAAAATACAATTTTCAGCCTATCATGGTGTCCTGATTACCAAAATATCAAGTGTGTACACCTGCATGGAAGCTCTCCTATTCTCCAAGGAGCTATATAACCAGAACTACTTTTTGCTTCAAGTTTTGTATATTGAAACAGATGTGCGTGGCCCACCCTTATTTTGGCATGGTGGAAAATCAGTGGTCAGATATAACCTACATGTATGTCAGCACCAAACAGTTAACCTATCATTATGCAAATTTTATTAGACTCATAGCTAAAGTGCAGTCTGTCAGGAGCTGAGAAAAGCCTGCCATTCAACAACTAGACACTATTCTGCTAGGTGGCAAAAATATTTAAAATATGTATTTCCAGCCCCCATCAGACTCCTCCATCCAAGGCCCACAGAATGAGGCCTTGTCTACACTATGGGCACTATGGCAGCTATGCCTCTATAGCATCACAGTATAGACTCTTCTTACAGTGACGGAAGGGGGTTTTCCACCACCGTAGGTCAGTGGTTCTCAACCAGGGGTATGTGCGCCCCTGGAAGTTTGCAGAGGTCTTCCAGGGGATACATCAGCTCATCTAGATATTTCCTGGTTTTACAACAGGCTACATAAAAAGCACTAACAAACTCAGTACAAACTAAAATTTCATATAGACAATGATTTGTTTATACTGTTCTATATACTATATCAGCAGTTCTCAAACTGTGGGCAAGTTTGTTTTAATAGGGTCACCAGGCCAGTGTTAGACTCACTGGAGCCCAGGGCAGAAAGCCGAAGCCCGAGCTTTGCTGCATGGGGCTGAAGCCAAAGCCCAAGTTTTTAAGTGAAGTGAGGTATGCAAGACAAATCAGACTCCTGAAAGGGATACAGAAAAGTTGAGAACCACTGCTATAGGTAATCCAGGTCCCTGAGTGGTCTTCAATCAACCTAGCCACATTGACACTGGGGGTTAGGTTGGGATAGCTACAGCACTTGGGAACATGAATCTTTCACCACCTCGGAGTGACACACTTATGTCATCTACATTTTAAGTGCATATCAGGCCTGAGGGAATAGGCAGCCAGTCTATATTGTCCTGCATATTGTGTGGTCATTTACACTAGCAAAAAATAGGTGTAAACCATGACCACAGCAGAATGGTAATCACTTACACTCAGTTTGCACTTAGTTAATAACGAGTCAGGTGCAGCAAAGCAGAGACTCAGGCCCCAACTGTTTCTTGCTGTTCCCTGAACTCTGTGGTGTCAGCAGTGCTTACGCTGGCACTGGTTTCATTCAGGCGCGAGTCTGTACCTAGACAGTCTTGTTCCAGCTGAAGCCAAACCACGCTGAACCCCTGATATGAGAGTGTCTACACACAGACCCACAACACTGTATCTAAACACACCTGTCGCCAAGCCCGCACGGCCCGGTACAGGCCTGTTCCTGGGGCTGGTCCCGGGGCACAACTGCCAGGAAACACACACCAGGTGGCGAGCGCTTCTCTGTCCTCCCCCCGAACTGCTCCCTGCGGGCGGCGAGCGATGGGGGCAGCCGGGGGCAGCGTGGAAGCGCTGCCTGTCTGCGTTCCCCGCGGCGAGAGCACAGGCCGTAAGTGTGGGTAGGTGGGTAGGGGGTGTGGGGTGTCCTGGCTCTGGCTGGCCCCGGGGGCGGTAGGAGACACACACACACACACCCCGCCCCGGGACGGCTCTGCCCGCTCTGGGGGTGGGCCCCTGCCCCCTATGGCTGCAGGACGGACTCTTCCGCCGGCTGTGGAGAGGCCCGCTGGGACGGGGGGGGGAGGGGGCAGGAGGAGAAGGGACACCTGCTCCCAGGGCCCTACCTAGCGACACACCGGCGACCCCGCCGCGCACCACGCGCGCTTCCGCTTCCGCCCAAAGGGCGGGACTGCGCACGCGCACTGCCCCCGCCGCGCAGCTTGCACGTGCCACGCCGCTGATTGACAGAGGAAAGGGCTGCTGAGGAGCACGTGACGCTCCCACCAGCCAGATGCTCGGCCCCCGCCTCCCAGAGCCGCAGATAGTCAGAGCCCTGCGGACGCGGCGCGGGGACTGGCGCGGGCGGGGGCTCCCACACGCATGCGGAGAAACACCCAGACACACACTGTAAACTGCAAGGCACCTCCTCCCCCAGTGTAAATCCCACCTATTGCTGTCATGTGTTACCAATATTTATGCATATGTAGCATCATTGCACCTGGTGCTGTTCAGACATACCAGAGCACCCTGCCCTGGGGAGTTTACGGTACATCGCAGTGTCTATTATTTCATATACACATGGTTCTCCGATACAGTATATCCCTTAGCTCTAATCTGTTACATCTCGCTATATCCTCCCCAATGGTATATATACTGCGTCCCACTGCCTACAGTAGGTCTATTACCCCAGATCGGTACATTACCTTCTCCTGATAACCCTAGCATAAAGATGTATTTTATTATTTTTCTGTTGTCCCGCTGTTAACCCCAACTGTACCCCCTAAATATGCCTTACTGTTATCCCCAAATTATAAAACCCCAGTGTGCACGCCTCTCTTTCTTTTGAAAGGCAGCACTGTGTTTCAAAACAGTTCTTACTAGTGATCCTGTTTGCTTGCTCTACCCCTCACATGTGTGGGGCAGAGGGAAGGGGAACGTTATAAAAGATGTGTTTGTTTTCTTGGACATTTTAGGATTTCAGAATTTAATGACGTGAAAAGGATTTGCTTAAATATGTCTTCTCCCTTTTCTAATACTTTAGGTTTTTTATTGGGGTCTCTTTCTCTATGTCCATTTATTGGACTTGGGCTTTAAAAAAAGCGTTTCCTAGCAGCAGAATGCAGAAGGCCCATTCATATTACAATGGGCAGAGAGGAAAGAAAGAGCCTGGTTTGTTTAAACTGCTTCTGTCTTCATTCACAGCCTGATATCCATGCGTATTGTGCTGGCTACAATGGGACTAAAGGACTCATTGTGGTCGAAAACAAATCAAAATAGAATAAGAGATGATAAGATAAAAGAGTCATGCAACAAAATTGTTCAAAAAATCTAAGTCTTACATCTGAGATTTATGTTACCTTTTGGCTGCGTGGCCTATTGACCGATGTTTATAATAATCACTAAAGTTTAATAAACAAAGCGATACATGGGAACTTTATGTGCCATTTTTAAAGGCACTGAGTAGAAATAGTGGAGGTGTTGGTTGTTTTATTTAATAATTATTGTTTTGTGCTTGCATATATTTTACATATACATTCCATATATCATTTGGTTCTATCAGGTTATTCTCCTAGCAGTGGACCACACATAATATCATCGTTATAAAAATGCCAGGGCCCTCTTTGTGTGTGCAAACAGCATACTAACACTGAAGCTCTCCTTTCTCAACCCACAAGATGCTCACATAACCTACTCCAACCCATAGGCAACAGGTGGAAGCTTAAATAACTTCACATATTTTCAGGGGAGAAGAAGGGACTTTGGGGAACCGATTTCAGGATTAGATCAGATGTTATTGCCAGTGAAAAATTAAACAGAGTAGTGCTCAAGGGAGTAGAGATTAATATATTTAGTGACTCTACATACACAAAGGCTTACCATTGTGGCCACGTCTGAATGCCTGTGAATAGGATGGAACATATGCAGCCTGTCACCGCAGGTGCCCACATCTGTTCTTCTCCAGGCAGATGCTCACAGAAAAGGGGAGAGCATTTCCAAAAGCTCCGATCCGCCCCGTCCAAACCCATCCTCTTTTCACAATCACCTTCTGCAAAGTAGTTGCTCTCTCTCTCTCTCTCTCTCTCTGTGTGTGTGTGTGTGACACGTAGAGAGATCCACAAAGGAAATAAAAATAACCTCATGGAAACTGGAGGAAGTTTTGAAAGTGCAAAGAAAACAAACCAACCAAAAAACCCCAAAGCATTAACAACCCCAAAGCATTACTACTTCCAGGTTTTGAAACTGCAGTGTAAAACTGGCTGTATTACTAGGCCATACGTATAACAGCTAAGATCAAGTGTAGTATAGTATAGTATAGTACAGTATAGTATAGTATAGTATAGTATAAACTGCTATAATTACAGTAATAAAGAAATAATGTATGAAGTTAATATTTGGAGTTTAAAATGTTAGGGCTTATGACAGTGAATAATTAAACTTGGAACATGGAAGAGGTCACTTTCCCTATAGTAGTGAGTGAAGACAGATGACATTGTTACTAAAATTTGGGCTACAGTGATGGGAATATTTAGATCCACTCTCTGAAAATTCATAACCAGTGAATAAATCATATTTTTCTAGCACATATTGAAACTAACCAGGAGCCACAATCTCTGGATTTCTTCATGTGCCAAGTAGACAGATTAGACTGAAGTAACTATGGGCTGGATTTTTCACTCTTTGCTCAAGCAAAAAACAAACAAACAACAAGAACAGAAGGTTTCCCTGACTCCCGCTCCATGGATCCAGCCACTGTGATAGAAAAAGAGAATGGTCTTATCTAACTAAAATGTCTAGAATCACATTCATGTACCTACTGAAGTCGATGCCACTGGACATTCAGTATCCGGTCCATAATCATGACCACTTTAGGATTTAACACATTCTGTGACTTCACACTGAGATCTATGGCAAATAAATCATTGATAGGAATCCTAACTTTGCTCCTTTTATTCACGCAGAACTCCCTTTCAAGTGAATGGGAGTGTTGCATGAGTAAGGAGAGCAAGATTAGTTCCAGTAAAGATGCTATTTCTATCAGAATTTGTTAAGTAATGATCGTGCTCATGAAGTCAAATGCGGAGCTAAAATGGAAAGGGAAAATATAAATTAAATTATTTTAATGGTTTGAGTCCACCCAAAAATAGCTCTAAAGCGATGACATTTGTAATGACCAAGTGTTTCTTGTACACTACTTGATCTATAACGAGATTTTGGTGCATACAGCCCGCCATTGGTATAATCAGAATAAAATGAGCCTATCCGCAGTTCTTCCAACAAGATGAAACCATTTTCATATTTTTTTTATTTAAAGTAAGCTTTAGAGAGTAAAATAGATGAGATGTTTAGAGTTAATTAAAAAGAAGTAGGGAGGGGGAGGAGAAACGTTTAACCCTTTCCTCCTTCTTGTATTCTCTCGAAAGAAGAATTGGAGAACTATCCGATAGATCAAACTTTAGAGTCTTTTACTTCGTCAAAACTCCCTATGATTTCCCGAGTAAGGACTGTAAAACTTGGGCCATTATTGATAAGTATAATAGGTCACATATAATGACTCAAGTTATCAAACTTGTGTGTAGAATCCTTTTACATAATTTCTAACCATTGACCCAGTCGTTTAAAAAAGAAATAAAAAGAAAAGGCGCTAAGCAAAAACAAAACAAAGCAAAAATCTAATTGAATTTCCAGAAAGAACCTGTGTCCATATTTGTCTTTCCCAGCAAAATTCTCTCTCATCTGATACTGAGTTATCATTAACAACTAAAATTGATACTAAAATTGCATAAAATACATGCCTCACACAAAGGAAAATGTAAGAGATGTATTCTATAAGATCATGTGTGTTTTATATAATTATGTTGGGATGCATATATAGTATACACAGACGCCTTTCGGTACATTTTATATGTTATTTTTAATTTAGAAAGGCAATCTGACATCTAAGAACAATTATGAGATTCTGGAGTTTAGCCTCAGAAGATATTGAATGTGCAGCTATGCTCTCTCTCTCTCTCACACACACACAGAGAGAGAGAGAGAGAGAGATGTTCGGAGCAGGTCACACTGGCTTCTCTTTTGGGGGGATCGATGGCAATCTGTTGGTGGGGGGAGATGGGCCAGTCTATTGTCGTGCCTTTTTGTGTGTGTTTGGTTTTGTTCCTTCTATGGCCCGGAGGTATGTGTAATCCTGAGCACACCACATTTGCTAAATTTGCCCTAAGGAACCGGCAGATGTTCCCCTGGCAGACATCGGCACGCGACTGACCTCAACCCTTGCAAGAATATTCAACCAATAATCCTTGCCATTTTGAAATAACAGCAACAGCACGCACGCACACACACACAAAGACTAGTCACCAACTTTCCTCACCACAGTTTCCCACAACCAAAATAGAGTCGGACACAAGCCAACAACCAAACAAACAGCCAGAGCCAAGGAAAAAGGTTTCCCCCCATGTTCAGTCAGTAAAACATATATAGGGGCCACTTTCGGATTTTCACAGGAAAGGGCTGAAGAGCAGCTGGCTGCAGTAATCTGATCTGGAGACAAAGGAATGCCCCGTCGGTTCTAGGATCACAGGTAAACACACAACCTTTGTTATGAAAATGAGGGGCTAGGAGAGGGCTAGAGCAGATGATTTGCGATTTGAAAAAGGGGGATGGGGGAAGAGGGGGAGAAGCCACCGAGCTGCTTATCTATCATCTGGCCTCTCTGTGTGCCAGCTGAGCCACGCGACTGCCCTTTCTTATTCTAATCAGCACATGCCTTTGCAACTTTCTACAAACCTTCATGCTAAACTTCTTAATCCCCCTCACACATAAAAACATGCGAATATCCAGCAGAAAATACAGAGCAATCATATTACCCCCATAAT